GTACCAGTGCACTCTTCTAAGGTAGCTACACTATTGCACTCTTCTAATGTAGCTATACCAGTGAACTCTTCTAAGGTAGCTACACCAGTGCACTCTTCTAATGTAGCTACACCATTGCACTCTTATAATGTAGCTACACTATTGCACTCTTCTAATGTAGCTACACTATTGCACTCTTCTAATGTAGCTACACTATTGCACTCTTCTAAGGTAGCTACACCATTGCACTCTTCTAATGTAGCTACACCATTGCACTCTTCTAATGTAGCTACACTATTGCACTCTTCTAATGTAGCTACACTATTGCACTCTTCTAATGTAGCTACACTATTGCACTCTTCTAATGTAGCTACACTATTGCACTCTTCTAATGTAGCTACACTATTGCACTCTTCTAATGTAGCTACACTATTGCACTCTTCTAAGGTAGCTACACCAGTGTACTCTTCTAATGTAGCTACACCATTGCACTCTTCTAATGTAGCTACACTATTGCACTCTTCTCATATAGCTACACCAGTGCTCTCTTCTCATGTAGCTTTACCAGTGCACTATTCTAATGTAGCTACACCAGTGCACTCTTCTAATGTAGCTACACCATTGCACTCTTCTACTGTAGCTATACCAGTGCACTCTTCTAAGGTAGCTACACCAGTGCACTCTGCTAATATAGCTACACCAGTGCACTCTTTTAATGTAGCTACACTATTGCACTCTTCTAATGTAGCTACACCAGCGCACTCTTCTAATGTAGCTACACTATTACACTCTTCTAATGTAGCTACACTATTGCACTCTTCTAATGTAGCTACACTATTGCACTCTTCTCATATAGCTACACCAGTGCACTCTTCTCATGTAGCTACACCAGTGCACTCTTCTAATGTAGCTACACCAGTGTACTCTTCTAATGTAGCTACACTATTGCACTCTTCTAATGTAGCTACATTATTGCACTCTTCTAATGTAGCTACACTATTGCACTCTTCTAATGTAGCTACACTATTGCAATCTTCTATGGTAGCGACACCATTGCACTCTTTTAATTTAGCTTCTCCAGCGCACTCTTATAATGTAGCTACACCAGTGCACTCTTCTAAAGTTTCTACACCAGTGCACTCTTCTAATGTATCTACACCAGTGCACTCTTCTAATGTATCTACACCATTGCACTCTTCTAATGTAGCTACACCATTGCACTCTTCTAATGTAGCTACACTATTGCAATCTTCTATGGTAGCGACACCATTGCACTCTTTTAATTTAGCTTCTCCAGCGCACTCTTATAATGTAGCTACACCAGTGCACTCTTCTAAAGTTTCTACACCAGTGCACTCTTCTAATGTATCTACACCAGTGCACTCTTCTAATGTATCTACACCATTGCACTCTTCTAATGTAGCTACATCAGTGCACTCTTCTAATGTAGCTACACCAGCGCACTCTTCTAATGTAGCTACACCAGCGCACTCTTCTAATGTAGCTACGCCAGCGCGTTCTTCTAATATAGCTACACCAGTGCACTATTCTAATGTAGCTACACCGGCGCACTCTTCTAATATAGCTACTGTAATACCAGTGCAATTGTCAAGTTTAGCTAGACCATTTGGCTCCTCTAATGCAACTACACCTTTGCGCTCGGCTAATTTACCTAACCATTCCGCTTTCTGAAATCGCTACACCATTGCACTTTTATGTGGCTACACCAGTGTGCACTTTAAATGCAACAAAACCAGTGCGCTTCCCTCATTTAGTTACTCCATTCCGTTTTGTCTAATATCGCTACAGCATTGCTCTCTATTGATGCAACCTTGCAACAACGCCACTGTGCTCATCCAGTGCAGCTACACCATCGATCCCTTTACGTTTGTATAAACAATGGGTGTGTTAATCTGATACGAAGTCCAAAATAATCCATTACCAGATACACCCCTAATCACGTCACTACAGATTTTTTATACTAGCATACTACAAACCGTTAACAATTTCTAGTAATTCTTAGAAAAGGTTGGCAGCTGCAGTATACTGTCCAATTACAACTACGACCTTTGTTGCAAATACGCCCAGGAGTTGATATTTACATCGCCATAATAATAATTAACTAGGTACAATACAATACTATTTGAATGCATATTTGGTGGTTCATTTGTTTAAAGGATAATGAATGAAACATGATAGTATATTTAGAATCGGATTTAGTCTGCTGTACATCAGTACAAGTATACTATATTGGTGGTAATACAATAACATGCGATGTTGGTAATGAATGGTATAGCCGCTATTCTAGGTTTAATGTCACTTGTTAATATTGTATTTTTTTCTTCTATTGTTTTTAATTTGCTGATACTTTCTGTTGTATCTGTAGTGTAATCTGCTTCACCCTTTCTCAACCAGTCTCCGTATCCCCACCCCCGTCTACGTGTTGATCTTTATGTTTAATCAACCGATCAATTTACCAATTACATGCTGTTAATCCTATATTTGTAGTGTCAATATATTTAACGGAGACAAGCGGTGAAAAGCGACAAAAGTTGACAACGTGAGTGGGAAGTTTTAGATAACTTTATTTGACATAACATTAGTCGTCGTACATTATATCTTATGAATACAAATCTGTTGCACGTGACAAATAATAAATAATAATAACTTTATTGCCTCCGTGTAAAAAGATTTACATAGGATAAGTACAGCAAAATAGAGTTAAATAAATGTTAAATGTTAAATAAATCTTTTTGTTGTGTAAATATAATTGGCAAGTTCTATAATTATGTCAGGATCTTTGCTTGAGAGTATATATGTGAACTGTATATTTTTATTTTTGGATGAAAGTAGTGTCATAATTTTTTGGATGAAATTTTCCCTGTGTGTGTTATATTTTGAGCAATTCAATAGAAAATATTCTTCATCTTCATTTGAATTTGTGTCACAGTTATTGCATATTCTTTTATTTATAGATTTCTTAGGAAATGAATATCTGCCTTCCTCTATTGCCAAGTTATGGTTACTAATTCTAAATTTTGTCAACATTTTCCTTTTATGAGTGTCAAGTTCATTCAAATATGGCTCAAAGATGTATTCTGTTTTAAATTTAGCATATGTTCTCAGTTTTCTATTTTCTTTGGAAATCATTTCTTTCCAGAAACTGGTATATTTATTTTCAATGGAAGGTTTTAAAATTTGATTAATTTGATTTTTTGTTTGATAGTGGATGTTTTTTTTCTTTTATGAAATGAAGTTTAGTGAATTGTCTTTCAATATTGTATGTATTGCATTTAGCCATTTGTATTGTATAGTATTGTGTTGTGTTTGTTTTAGGTATGCCTGTTTTGTAAGATTATCATCTGGGAGTTCCTTTATATGCAACCAGTAATTAATAGCTTGAACTTTTGCACTGAGAAGTAGTGTATAATGATGCTAAGTTACAGGGTTTTTTTATTTACTTGTAAGATTTGTTTGCAGAATTTAATGTTGATTTTTTCGATTGATGTTTTGTCCCATTTAGCATTGTCCTGAATGTCCTGCAAGTCTAGGGCCCATGATTCTGAGCCATAAAGCAAAATTGGTTTTATGTAAATGTTAAATAGTTTCATTTTTAGTTTTATGTCTAGATTTTCTAAAAGTACTTTGTTCATGACGTAAATTGATTTTCCAGCTTTACCTGCTAAATTTGACATGGCATCAACAAAACTCCCATTTGATTTTACTGTCATTCCTAGATATGTATAACTGTTTGTTATTTGAATGTTATCATTTCCAAAATTGAATTGGTATTTTTTTCCCAATGTTGATGAACCGAAGATAACAACTTGAGTTTTTGAAAGGTTCACACTCAATTTCCACTTATTGCAATATTCATTTAGTGTATTTAATGATGTCTGTAGACCAGCCTGGGTAGTGGAAATAAGGGCTAAATCATCTG